TATCTATAATATACTTACTTAGTTACTTACCTACTAATGTAGTCTAATGTAGTCATGTTTAAGAAAATGTTCTAATATCAAACTATTTTATTAAAAAACAAAACCTTAACAATTTAATTTCGTTTACCTGGTAATGATAATAATATTTTCGATTACTCGATTACTTTTATTTTATTAACCGCAATATATTGTTTGATTCGATACATACATATATATGACGTTTCTTAATTTGTAAGACCTAAAAAATGTCAGAAAAAAATATGGAAACCAATAAAAAAAAATTGTATTTTAAATCAAATTATCAATAAGGTATTAGAATCGCTGTGGAAAACCTAATTATACATTTATTGCTGTTATATCCCTATCAGTTTATATAACAACTCAATCAAAATATGATTTACATAGCACTAATCTAAATTAATGGAAAAACAACCAATATTTAAATAATGTTGTGAAACACAAAACATCGTACAATAAAACATTAATACAATTAACTTGTTTTCCCCTTTTAAACTATACCTATAGGTACAGTGTACTCTATAGGTATACAGGCATATTATATAGCATACATATGGGTTTTATAACTTACATCATTATAATATAAGTATTTGAGGTGATTTTGCCTTTTCCAACTTACTAATCAATCGTAAATCTTTTTTTTTTAATCGTATATCAAAGTAATAACATCCCTTTCACTAATCACCTACTACTCTGCTTGTACGAATAGGGTGACTTTCAAAAATATTTTTAAATACAGTTTATAAAAATAAATTAAGTAATCCTTATCGTAGTCAAATTCATTAAATAATAATATTATACGCAAAAATGTATCCATAAAAAGTAAAAAGTATAATATTAGTTTAATTTATAACTAACCTACTTTAGCTTTTTAATACATTCATGAAATATTATATTTTTATGTTTTATAATATTCTAAATAAAATTAACAATTATTATTATATATAGTTATGAATGATTCGATCAATCATTCATTAGAATATTAGATAAACATACATAATATTATATATAAGAAATTTAAACAAAAAATATAGGTTATTACTTATTATCACCTAAGATACTTTTTTTAACATAAATTAGTATCGATCGCTAAACCTACAAAAATAGTAAAATACTTTAAATTACAGTGAATAAAATATAATATATTATTATGTATTAATATTACAACAAAGTACAGGTTAATTACTTTAACGTAGGTATTTTAAAATAAAGAGTGTGAAAATAATTGTTCTGTACGTTCGTTTAGTTAAATGATTTATATTGTTAAGCTACATAAATTAGTCATTTTTTTAAAATTAATTTTAATCTTTTTATGATTCCAACAAACTATGTTCACGGTTCAGTGTTCACCTACAAAATACAATATAATTGCACATTTAAAAAATGCAATGTATTGAATTGTATAAATATGATAAACATAATATTACCACAAAACTACCACAAAATTACCTAATATCTTTGACACATTTACATAATAATTCTATTTCATCCGATTTCATGAAGGTAAAAATTTAACAAGGCATTAAAAAAAGATTTAGACCAATATTATCACTTAAATATTAATTATTACATAATTCCATAATTCATTACATATTAATAAATTATCATATTATATTATTACTTATAATACATTTATGAATAATAATAACAATGAACTATACAACGCTTTTTAAAAAAAACATTTTTAACGGCTTTCTATGTACAAATAATCACTTAATTGGTTATTTTTACTAGAATTTCAATCATAATTTATGATCGGTTTTTATTTGCTTCTTACTATCCCGAGGCTTCGTGATATAAGAATTAATATACATTTTAATATTGTACATAATAATATATACTTATAGCAATAAGGCCTTTTGTAGGTGTTGCATACCACTATTAACACCGTCCTCGTGGGTGTAACTTGCTCAACCCGACAGCAATTAATTTAAGTAAGAAATATCAATCTCAATTTTATATCAATACAAAGCTAAAACTGTTTAAAAACTATTAATTATTATAACCAAACCAGTTGTACTAATGCACCTATTTATGATTGTGTTTTTTACGTGTTAAAAACAAACCCGCGTTTATAATCGATTAATGTCTGTTGGCTGTTTAATTACTATTACATGGTTAAACTATATTTTCAATTTATTTTTATTAAAATTATAACATGACATGATGTGTTGGTCACATGATTTTCGAGATTTATTTACGTTACACCTATAATAATAATATAATACAAAAACATTCGTTTTAACGTAATAATAATGTCATGAGTAGGAACATCATATGCAGTCATAGCATGCTTGTAATCGTTAATAATATAATAATAATAATAATAATAATATTACAATCACTTCTATTTGGACAAGAAATTTAACAAATATTGTCGTGGTGTTTGCAAACAACGTAGGACGGTAGCCGGTAGGTCACACCTATTTTAGATCATAATATAATATTATAATATGCGATCGTGAAAAGGTCATAATATAAGTTATAACATATTTTCATACCCAAACGGTTGAAATATTAAACGACAAAATATTATATTTTAATGGGTCGACGGCGTAGTTTTTCTAGTTTGTTTTGCGTAAGACAAATCACTTGGTCGCCTGCACTACCTGCAAACGTCTTATGCATAATGTAATATATTTCGCTACAACATCCGTCAATGTTATAAGTGGCAGGGGAAAAAAATCAGCCGAGAGCGATATAATAGTGTCGTAGGTGTCGACGGCGCGTGTGTGCGTGCCATTCACTGACCGGTTCTCGTTTTGTATGAATGAGAAAATATGTCGGTAAACAACGATATTGAAATAATTATTTATATTATTATTCATTCTCAAATAATCCACGAGCAGTAAAAGGTGCACGCTGCTGCACGACGACGACGACGACGGTCATATTATTATAATTTAGGTGTGTATACCAAAATAAAACCCGTTTCCGAACCACCTGAGATATTGTTCCATGTGACACACGGACAACAACGATGAAGTCATGAAGATTATTATTACGTACCTATTATAATATTATTATTATTATCATCACTGCGAGACTTGCACCGAAAACGTTATTCGAATACTATACAACCAACGTCGGAACAGTCATAGCTGGTTAGGTTAGGTACATTGAGTCACAGTGGTCCATAAGGCCTCAGGGTGTGAAATTATTTTGCAAATTAAATCGTTATAAATTATAATATATGATACTCTTTTATTCAATTAACCGTTATCATTACCGCCTATAAATTATAACTATTGATATTATTTTACTCGTCTTCGACCAAGCACAAGACATGATCCGAGTACCAAATAATGATGTCATTTTTTTTTTAATATGAAAAACATGCTTAACATCTTTAGGGCCGATTTCACCAAATACTTTAAACTTCGATAACTCTTAATCGACTGATAACAGATATTTAACCGAGCAAATTCGGCCGATTAAACACCGGTTTAACTTTAATCGAAGTTTAAAGTAGTGGTGAAAGCGGCCCTTACTGATACAAATTATTATAGCTAACTTTAAACGTTTTAAAGCTAAAGAAAAACTAGAAAAAGTAAGAAAAGTTTAAAAATGTATTATCCATCATTTTAACACATACATCGACAAGTCGTATACCAGACTTTACACTTATAAGTTATTATACATAGTTATTATTCAGTTAGGGTTCTGAGGTTCTCTATATTTTGTAAATGCCGTTTTAATAAAAAGTTATGATAGTAAATAATATTACATGTATGAAAACGTTACTAATATATTAAATCAAAATGTAAGCATTAAGTACCTATAACCTATTAGTTATATAATATATATGAGTATATGCAACACATATTATAAAAACCAGAATTAAGTTTATTTTTTTTTATTTTAAAATTCAAACTTTAATTTTGTGTATTTTTTATTTACTTTAACATTAAATGCTTAATAATATTTTTTTTTAAATAAAAGTTAAAACACAAATCATAATAATATACGTATAATGAAGATATAATATAACCATATCAACTTCAATATTTAACATGAAATTACAGCCCCTATAAGTAAAATATGTGCCTTATAGGTTAGGTTAGGTTAGTACTTCACTCGTACTATAGTCTGTTCATTTTAAGAAGCGATTCAGGCGGCCACTAGTAAAACCGGTTTTCAAGCGTAAATCAGGTCGCTTCTTATTTTGAACAGGGTATATATAAATGTAATATACTAATATCTAATTAATTATAGTCACGGATTCAAAGGATTAACTTTATAAACAAACCTTCGCGTTCGCAAGCTCACTTTTCTTGTGTAGCATTTTGGTTTATTTTATGAAGTACCTACGTCCTACGTAGGTAATTAAAACTAATATACTTTTTTTCTTTACATATTTAATTACATATGTACCTATATATGTCATAACCATACATATAGTGTCTATCATAAATTAATTAAATAGCTATAATGATATAAACTAGAAAGTAAGCTATTCAGAATTTAGAATATAATTTATTAAAATTTAAAATTTTTGGTATTTTTAAATTTCCTAGAATATTAATATATTAAAAAAATAACACTCGAGACTCTATAGTCTATAAAAAAAATCTTTCTTTAGAATAAAAAAAATCGGTCAAGTGAATAGTATGCATAAATTCGATGAGTACCAATGCAATAATTATTTAATGATAGATGTCATATTATTTAAGATAAATGTTTAAAAATGTACCTATATAAATGTTTGCAATAAATGTAGATATAGGTATATATTATATTTTGTACAAAACTGTTAAAAAACCGAGGTCATTTTAACAATATTTTTAAAAGATTTCAGTTATCTACGAATAATATGACGTATGGTATACCTACTACCTATAATATAGATGCAATAAAAAAAAGTAACAAGTGTCAATCAATTTAGATGAAAAAAATATAAATTATAATTATCTTAACAAAGAAAACAAATTACTACAACTACCTAATGGCTAATAGTGTATTATTAATATTCTTATTTTCAGATGCAGGGTATTGGTATTAAGACACAAGACCATGGAATTTTACCTGCGAGCAAAGACATTGGAAAGTAAGTAATTTAAAGCTATACAAATATGAAATGTATCTATGTAGGTATATTAGTCCAAAAACTATTAGTCCTAGTTAAACCTTTACTAATAATAATATACCCTTCGACGATACGGGTTCTAAAATGTATAAATCATCATGGAAAGATGCTTTTTTGCACTAAAAACTGTTAAACAAACACCTAACATTTTCCGTTATTCCCAACTAAGTACATATAGGTACTATTATCTATTACTATATAATTGTATTACTTTAAGTATAATTATTTTGCGATTTAAAGAACACCAATAAGAAAATAAAGCGTGCATAATGTTTTTTACGGTACCTACTTTAATTCATCGTGCTTACTATCGTAGTGTACCTCTCGCATATTCTGACATGTTAACATATTACATTCATAATAATACATTAGCACCACTATAACAACCGCAGGACATAGAAATTAGAAGCACAAAAATAACCGTCTACCCTTAGTCCTTAGTCCTATGGAACCTGTGGGCTGTGAATAATATAGACGACATAATATTAAATCACAGTGTCTTACCTAATTGGAGCGGCAATGCGGCATGCCGCCATCCTCTGGAAACACTAACAGACAACGCTTTTCATAAGGTCGGAAATGATGACCGATGAGAATTGCAAAGTAATGGACTTGATCAGCTGAAATGACTTCACACTGATAACACCAAGTCACCAACACGCGTTCGCGGACAACGACGTGGAATCGGTTTTTTCGAGAAAATTATAATGGCGCAGAGGATATCGGGTTATTATAACAATTAACAATATCATAACGTTAACAATTATTAGCAATGAACGGCATTGTCGAATTCTCAATGAAAATATTGCCACTCACGAGTGCGTAAAAAGGTCGGAACAGTGAACAATTACGATGAGATTCAGGTGAAAAAAGTCTTGTTTATTGGTGCTATGTATTTACTATTTGCAAACCTCATCACTTCCGCCCCGACGAAATGTTTCGAACCGTTTCCCAAAGACTGTACCGGACGCGGCTCATCGACGTGAGACGCAAATCATAGTCTCCAATGTCCAATGTCTTGGACTGTCTTTTTAACGTTTTTTTTTTTTATTATTATATTTGGCTAAACAAAAAGACAATTTAATTTTTGAAAATTCACCCCCCCTCCTTTGGTTGACGTTTGGATCCGCTACTGCCTCCATGGGATGTCTATGTGACCGTGTTTTATTTTTGGCCAAGTTTATTCAACCACAGTCCCGGGAAATCGAAAGAAAATATTGCTGGAACTTGCGTACTTCCCCGAGTTAAGACCGGATTTTGCGATGGTTGCAATTAGAATTAATTATAAAATGTATTACTATGCGGTATTCTCTAGAGTTTTCTGTTCCCTCGACAGAGCTGTTCAAATTCGATATATTTTTATACCATTATTGTATATTTCTTCAATTTCTACTTTATGAGGAGGATTATACACACAACCAGCCAAATTCCATTTATAAGGATTCATGGAGGGGGGTGGCAGGGTGCAAACAATATTCTGAATACGTCTCTAGGTACAGTTTCGTTATAAGTTCATTCAATATAATAGTATTATAACAAAGTTCAAAACATAATCAGCCATACAAACTAATGTACCTACATCAACACTATAATTATTTATAATAAATTATTTCACATTTTTAGTCTAGTCTTGAAAATATTTTACGATAGTAACTCGCACATGAAACCGTTTAAAACTAATTTTTCAAAACGTTTTCCTATTTGTTTATTTTTTTTTTATTATTAACCGTCTCATGTTTCAATACATCAAACTATTCAAACTGGAAACGATGGATTAACGATTAATAATAATTAAGATAGATTTATAATTATAATAATATCATGACCTCGTCGGTATAATGTAAAAATTAATACTAGACGGCCGACACAAAACGTATACGACAGCGCCATCTAGTGAGTAAAAAAAAACCATCAGAGGTAGTTCTTCGCGTACTCGCCGGCGTTCTTTGTTCACAATAACGACGGTAGACAGCGCTGACCTTACCGTTCAGACCACAGATACAGATAATAAAGTAATAGTTTATTATCTACATATTTTGTTGTTCGGACTCTTCTTTCGAATAACGATAACATCAAGACGATAGGGTGTCAGCCATTCATATCATGGTGTCAGGGCATTTGCGATAGACATGACTGTCTGTGAGGGTCTGGTGGGGAGGAGAAGGTCTAAGGGCGGGAGCCAGCCTAAGGTATCAAAAAAACATATTGATGGTGATCAAAAACAGTGAATTGTTGCCCAACATAATTTTCGTGAACATTAATTTAATATTTTAATCCTGTGGCACCGTGAATCAGGAAATTCACAACGTTGTCAAATGTATACTCCAGACTTAAAATTTATTGTAAACGTAGTAGAATACAATTCTTGCAAATTCAAGAATAAAATAAAACGTGATACTAACTACGGTAAAATCAGTGGGTGAAGCGTAACCGTGGTTTAAACTATGATTGAAAAACGGACCCTAAAGGTTTCTCGTATGTAACTTTTCGGTTTTCAAGTGTTCAATATGTGTCGAAGATTTTCAATTTCCACGTGATAACTAGTATTGAATACTAAATGTTATCAAAATAATATTCCAATCCGTACGACAAAATCGAATATAAAAAGAAACCTATTAATCATCGTAACATTTTCGTGGTCGTTGTTAATCACTGTCGCGTCGTGTGCAACTATATTAGGTATAATATTATAGATAAATAATGACAAATATTTCAACTGTCAAACGTGTAATGACATGTTACTGTTTACCCGCAGAAGCGAATGATTTAAGGATCTACGAATTCCTATCATAATACCAAAATGGCAAAATGTCCAATTTATCATAATAATATTGATCAATATTGCGAAAGAAACTAGGCCGTAGTATGATGATTATTATTATATTAATATTCGAGTTAATTGTTCGTTGACAGTGTCGGAAGGGCAACAATAGAAATGGTCTGATTATAAAAACCATTCAAAACGTTAAATTAATTTTTTTAAATGTTTACAAAAACTGTTTTATGAAGTGAACGACTCAAAAATCAGTGAAACATATTATATAGTTTTCTTGAATCGACATTGGAACCTATACAATTATGTGCAACAGCCGTGTCGTTTGTTTATGTCTTACGACTTTCTGTAATTTTAAACAAAAAAATGTATTACGTAAAATATTTATTGTTGCTGTCATTTAATTTTTCCAAGTGGAATTTAAAACTAATGTTTATTTTTTTTACGATACACGTCGGCGACGGTGAAAAGGTTGATTTTCCTTTTAATTTCTTTGATTGTTGCCTATATGAACCCCTTGCAAAAGAATCTTTAGTACACAGTCTTCGTTGTTCCAAAAATATGAAAACGATTTTATTTAAAAAAGTTTATTAATTTTATTTCTCACGACTGTCGAAAACAACAATTTGTTCTCTATTTTAATTGTCTAAGAATGCTTTTAACATTAAGCTCCAACTTATTTGTCAACTCACGGGGGACTAAAACTTACAAGTTACAATTACGTGTTTCGAAGTCCTTCACCCAAGTTCGGTTTTCAATACCCTGTTAAATACGAAATAATATTTCAAAAACACGTGTTTCTATTTTTTTTATTTATAATATACCTACGTCGCCCGTCACTGGTATTTATTAGTACAATAATTGTACCATAATACCGATCAATTAAAAATGGGTATGGTAAATATTCTAAATTATAATAATAATGGATATTTTTATATGGTTTCTCATGTCAATTTCAAAATATATCTAATCAATTTTGAATTCTATTCCTATTCAATATTCAAATCGTAACATTTTTCGACATTAATTCACCGAAAATGTATAGTCAACGTTTGTGTATATAATAAATTCGATTAAATAATATTATAATAATAGACACACACTCTTGTGTAATATAAATTGCAAGTACCTATATATAGGTTCACTTTTACGAAAAATGGTTAAATTTATACATCATTCAGTATATTATTTATAATATATCATTATTCCATTAATACGAAAGCAGCAAAATATTCCAGTACGGGTCATCGACACCATCAATCGGTATTTGAGTATTTCCCCGTATTTCGACTATAAGCCTATTTAAGTCGTTTACGACTTTTACATGCACTCTTATTATTATTTATTATTATTTTAAGCCATATCTGTGTACAGACAGTGAACACTGTTGTACACGTGATGACTATAATAATATTATAATGTGTTTTATTATTATTATATAATGTTATACGCATAGAAATCGCGTTCGTGATATATTATTAAATCGTGGAAAGACGTGCTGTGTACTCGAGACGTAATGCTGTTATTAATAAAATGATAGGTACGTCGAAAAATATTGTCTGATTTGAATATCAGATGGATGTGGTTATATATGCTTATCTATGGTTGTGTGCACCATATAGGGCGCATATAGACAAACACTCGGGAAGTCACGAGATTAGGCATACGACATCCGATTTCCGAAACACGACATGTGTGGACAATAATATCGTGAAAAATAATAATTGTACAGAAAACATATTTCAATAATTGTTAGGACCGTTTTTTGGCCAAATACAACGAATTAAAATCTGCGAAAAGTTGGTTGTTATTATTTTAATTTCCTCTCCTACTAGACGAATCTGAGACTATCGCACAGGAATGCGAACTCAAACTGTTGTAATATTGTAATAAGTAACTGACCAACTACCGGTGTTTTTTTTCTCGTTAGTGATGTACTAATATTATTTTTCTCGACACAAATCGTTGCTCATCAGTCATAATAAGATCGCTTGTTATTCGTATTTGTTACCCCTACGATAAAAAAAGAATGTGCATTTATAATATGCACAATACTATATATATGTCTATTTATACACCACATACGTAATAGTACGTTATAATTTCCTGCCCGTCTAGTCCTGAAACGGTTTTCTCTCCTGTATTTATTTCCGAGTGCCCAAGTGTTAAGACATTTTTCACAACTCCATGCCTGTCTGAACCGGAAGCGGGGTCGAATGCGGGTGAGATTCCAACGGTCGTTTAGCTTTTATAATATTACAATGGGTATTATACCTATTTTCTTTATTTTGTGTTCCACGGGCGTACGCACTTAATCGTCAACATTTCTGCGATGTTCCCTTATTGGACAATGTATATTATGCGTCTTTAACCGACAGTCTATAAACTGTAAAAGACTATTCAATGTACAAAAAATAATTCATAATAAAACTCGAATGGATGCAGTGAATCATCGATGAGCCCGTGTTTACACAGGTCGAGTCCATAGTTCAATATTTCTATTTTACTTAATACCACAATATATTATTATAATTTATATTGTATTACTAGTCTGGTACAGTGGTAGCTTGTACCTACAACGTATTTTATATAGACTTTTGGATTTCTGCTTTAGAAAAATAATATAATGCATATGATTATAATGTATCTAAATCTTGCGATATTGTCGTTTTGAGAAACGACCAGTTGTTTACGTGTTATAATGTTTTAATATATTATTTAGTTGTAAGCGACAACTCTTCAACGTTGTTGATTTTTAAACTAAGAAATATAAAATATTACATAATGATTCATTTTACGTTTTTTCTTAGGTGTAATACACCTATCTGGAATCTGTGTATTGTCCAAAAATGAATAAGACCAAAAACATATAATCAGAAAATAAAGTGGACAAACCAAATATTATTTTTAATTAATAATTTTTATGATTTATTACAAATCGCAATAACTTGATAAATTGAACAAAACAAATTTGTATACATTACAATCATCGCCATTCACCAATGATGTCGTTATAATTCAATAATTAAATTGTCAAAAAAAAAAATGTTAAAAAAGTGTAATAGAAACTAATAAGTAGGTACCTATGTATTAATCAATTAGCTCTAAAAGCAATAACAGTAATCTAATCTAGCAAATACGTTAAAACATAAAATAAATAATTATTAATTTAATATATGTATAATGTAAAGTACTTACGTACTTTTAAGTAGATCAGAGATACAATTTTATAATTTCAAACATATAGAAAGTAAATAAACTGCAATTAATTTAATACCTATTTAATATTGAATTATCAAAAACCTCATAATAATAGGTAAACTATTCATTATTATATATGAATATTGAAGTTAATAATATAAAATATGTAGTATGTACTTACATTACCTAAAATTAATAATAATTAAAATTGTTACTAGCATAGTATTTTGATATATTACATTATCGTAGTTATGGTACAGTTATTAAAGCTATATAAATGTATACATTTAATAAAAACAACGTTTCTTAATTGTTTAAATGTACAAAATACAACACTTTAGTCATCGACTTAAATTTTTAATTAATATAGCTCGAAATAATTATAGTCAACATAATATATACGATCTTTGATTAAACAATAATGTAATGCCAAATATAATAGGTATATTAATTATATTATTATTATGTTAGTTCTACTTAGGTCTTCCAATAATAAGATTTATTTATTTGTCAACTTTAATTAGGCAATTAGTGTTGTAGTGATTCTATGTATAGTTTAGACTTTTAGAAATCATTGTCTCATTTAAAAACCCAAGACAATAAAACTAACTTAATGTACTCAAATTATTAATCAAATAATGACTCATTTTTATTTATTAAACTTGAAAAATAAATATGTATGGAATATAACATAGTTATTACTTATTAGGTACGTAGATTATGTTATGAACTGTTTCCAAAACTTGGTATATAATAATATTTCTTAGGTATACATTTTGATGATGAATTGAAGTAAAATATTATTAAACAAATATTGGGTAATAATAAGTTTATTTAATTTGATTATTATATTTGACATTTATTAAATAGGTTCATACTGCACACTATTATAGCTGTGGTAGTACAATTATTTTGTCTTAGGCTCTTAGCGGTACCGATTGGTAGAAAAGTAATTTCTGTTCCGAATAAAATTCTACTACTACCGCCGCCGCGGCGCCACAGTATATTATGTACGGTCTAACATAGTTTTGAATTACAGAAAATGTTTTATATTGAACCTAATAACTAATAAGTAATACTTGTACACTAGTACAGTAATAAAGTAATACATTAAAATAAGTTAGTAATAAACTATTTGTAAGATCACAACCAAAGTACTCAATTAAATACTGAACTCTGCAAGCCTCCCCTATAATATTTGAATAATGTTTTTTTTAAATTGATGAAAAGTAACCATTTAATTTTATTTATAGAAGTCGTCGAAAATCTCGATGGAAGCTTAAATTTCATCATCAAGCATTACCTCCAGAGTATTTGAATCATTATGAAGCGTCCATGATGTCTACTCAACCATCTCCCTCGATTTCATCGTCTCCTTCCCCTGTCCTATTCACGGGAAATGTCAAATCGAAACTACCACTGGAAGCTCAAACTAGTGTCCGTTTTGATGATCTACCATACATGGGAGAGATGACGTTAGACAATGCAAAACCACGGAGGGGACGCAAACCAAAAAAGGTAAAAATTATTCATATTATTATGAAAAGTGAATGTAGGTATATACAGAGATAGGTACTCGTTCAAAATTTGGTTTTTATACATCGAAATACCTACTCGCAAAAATATTATGCTTTGGAGTATGAAATTAAAAACTTACAAATTATATGGTTAAAAAATAGTAAAAGTACCACCTATAATTGTTTTTAGAAAATAGAATTTTATAATAATTTAAAATTATGTAAAAAAAATAACTCTAAAACCGTTGATATATTTAAAAATTATTAGAATAAATATCATAAATATATATAAAAATCCATAAGTATAATTTTACTGTTACTGCATTGATATTGGATACATAAATATTATTTAAACGTACATAACATATTATTGTTATTTTAATCTTCTCAAAAACGTATATATGTTATCTTATCAAATTACACTAGACACTATCAAATTAAAAATATAAAGTATAAACACGTTAACATTAGACAATCAGTGTTATAAAACACCTGATAGATAAAAGACTTTATAGTTTATGATTAATTAATTCACTTTTATATTTAAATACTACATTGTAGATTTTTTAAAAATGTTATCTATATAGTTTGACAATAACGTGATAATAAGGTGAAAATATTAAACAAAAAATGTACCAAATAAATCTAAAGAATGTAAAATAATGCATTCATAAAAATTTATGAATAGTAGGTTCAGTAATAGTAAACAGTAAGATTCAACATAACAATAAAATTAAACATAATAATAGAACAACCGGATTACCGTAACATTCACCTGTATTTTCTAATCAGATGTTTTCATTTACTTGTAGGCTGATATATGTCACTTGATATATAAAAACTACGGTACAACTGTCGTAGAAGAACCTTTGAACCTATGCGTCAGGGACCAGATATCATCGATTAATGATTTTCAACTACCTGGTTCGGCCAGTCTCCAAGAAACATTGAATCTTCAATCAAAAGACTCCAAACGTAAGAGCAAAAAGTCACTGGCCAGAGAGCGTTTGGAAAAAACATTCAAAGAAAAGGGTTTCTTGATACAGACGCAACAACTGGAATCCGCTCAAGGAGCCACTTACTGCAAATTTAGACAGTTAAGGAAGTTTACACGGTATCTGTTCAGAAGCTGGAAACATCATTTACCTGGTGATGTCGTAGACAACGGTGTCAATAGTCAAATCACCTGAATTGTATACTAGCTAATATGATTTATGAGTGTTGTTTCTATGAGTGAATTATATTTAATAATTCTTAGAACTCAATACACGGGCGAGTGTGAAATATGAATATCTAAGTGTTTAGAAGCGAAATTAAAACCAATGTGTTAAGAACACAATTTAATAATTTATTGGGGACAAAGAAATTTTATTGGTGAGTGTTATTGTACAAATTTGAAAAAGAAAAACGTATTTGCCAGAGGAAAACATCGAATATAAATGTCGAAGTGACGTTAAAATATAAACAAAGCACAAGCATAAAGCAAAATTAACTTTAATATTTGTTTTGTGAAATCTTTCCTTACTGTACAATAGGTAGTACATCTAATATTCCTTAATAGGAATCATTAAACTCGTGTACTTAAATGTACATCAATGAATACCATCGTAATTTAAACGAAGAAAATAGTTAATTATTTGGTGACAAAATATTGAAAAGAGACTATCCATTATTAAATGAGTTTTTACTATTCTTTAATATTCTTATGCTTCACGAAACAGTAACGTGGTGGCGCCGCACTGTGGCGGTTAAAATGAAGATTTTCTATACATTTGTTTACTTCCTTAAATACAATTATGGATGGGGAATGAGCCGAATGGTGACCTCGATATAAGTTACAGCGTTTCACTATACCATTTTTAAAAACACTTTCAGTACAAACGTGAACTTTATGATATTATATTGACATATTGTAAGGAATGACGAAATAACAATAAGAAAACTATAATACTAATTGTTTACATACTCGTAAGTCGTATTATAGTTGTAACTATCTTTATGATATGACTTTGTGAGATTCAATTTTCATAATTTTCGTAATTATAAATATTAACACTGTTTCCAAAATGATTGGTCATCTCCTTAATATTCTGTTGACTTGTGTCATATTATACAATAATACATTAATACGTAATATGTATTTATAATGATAGTATCGTATTTATTTTATAAAACGTTCAAAAAATATAGACCAACCGTCACAACAGATGTATATTGAAAATAGTTTATATAAATATATAAGTTTTCAAAAATCAAAATTGTAACCTGGTTCCTAGGTACTTTTGTTATTTATTAAATATTATACATATTTAAATTGATTTTTTTTTTAATGTTGTATTCATACTATTAAAAATAATTTATAAACTATATTTATTTATTAAATAAATACATACGAATTTATCATTAAAAAACGCTTGTATAACATAATAATATTTTATACTTACATTTTTTCACGTTTAAAAATCATACTATAATAATTGACATTATATATTTGTCTTTATATACCTAAATGTAATATACATTATATAGATAGGTATTTGAAATAAGAATACTCTTTTTATTTATTAATTACCTATATTAGATATTTAGATTATGATCATAGATGAGCTCAAAACTATCAGTGAATAATTAAATATCATTGATAGTAATACAATTAAGACAACATTTTACTCCTTTCGCGTAGCCTGATGTAGGACACAAAACTCAAAATCAATAAAAATTACTTTATTCCCTCTTTGCTAGGTCCGACCATTTATTAGTAAATCAAATCAATTGTTTAAATATATTTGTATAGTTTTAGTTTATTTTACAAGTAAGAAATGTCATATTATATTAATGGACTAATATATTATTTATTTATCTGTGGACTGTGATAAATAAGGTTCTATTGGTGCTAAACCACAAATAAAAATGTTATATAATATGTTGACAAATATTTTAGTACCTACTATACCTATTGTATATGAACACTGATCTTGTTTGTTTTTTACTTGTTTTTACTTTGTTTAGTAATAATATTTATTTGTGGTTAAAAATATTGTTACCAACACCATTAGCCAAGCTAATTTGTTGAATTATTTATGTTTTTTAAAAATAACAATGAATGTATTATAATAATAATTATATGTTTTTATTAAAAAAAAAAATGTTGTCAACGTTATCAATTCCTTTTAATATATTCGTCATATTATCGTGGATAATGAAATCTGGAAATGTGACTTCTTAAGAACCTATTAAAGAATAAATATTAAAGGAAATTCAAACTTTAAGGTACCTAGGTAAAATTAGATTTATTGTAGGTACCTTCATACCTACTTAAGGTTGTTAATGAAAAAAAAGTATTACATTTTTTAAATTTATTATTATTTTTAAAGGAGACATTATAAATGGTAATATATAATATTATAATCTTTAATATTTCCTGACACTTGTTGGTATAAGTAACTAAAAATGTATAATATTTTGCCCCATGATGTCTATATAATTATTTGTATAATAGGTAAGTATAATCTTGTTTTTAGATAAGATACATAATACCTGCACTGACGCCGCCTCCTATTACCTTGTGCCTGTCATCATAATTCTGCAATCTTCAACTTTGTAAAGGGGAGGGGGAGTAAAAAAAAATGTCCTGTACTTTTCGAAATAATCGGGAAAAGTAAAAAAAATAAGGAAAAAAAGAAATATTTGCGTAACTGCAGTTTTAAACAAAACCGGTTTTATTATTCTGTTGTAATTCAAAAATATATGACTGTAGATACTTCAATCACTATATACATCTCCAAATATTTATAATTTATATTAACATTTCCTAGACATGATGTTATAATCTTCAAAATATTTTAACTAATTTCAAGCTATATTTACAATGATGTTATTCACGCAGTGTTGATTTATAAGTTAATAACCAGAATAATATATCTGTAAAAATTAGTTCAACATAGGTATCCTATCAATAATAGAAAAATCAATTACTAACAGTAGGTAATATAAATAAATTATAAAGTTATAAGAAATCCTTAGAAATAGAGACTAACTACTGACACGTCACACGGTTTCCTTTCAGTGTCGTTATTCGTATGCAATGATTTATCATTGAATTAAATTTAACACATCTATTACAGTGACCTACTCAATAACAAAGTACACACAAAACCTACAACATCAGAGCGATTTTTTTATAAATTGATTACATAAGATAATAATATACCTATATGTATATCTAATAAAAATTGTTGAATTTGAATGCATTCAATATTAATAACTACTAATTCGTTTTGAAAACTTTTATATAAAATAAAATATTAATAAATTACGGTTTATTTTAGTATAGGTAATATATTTCAGAATATTACTTGAAAAAATCTATTTTTTTAATGTGTTTAGTAAAATGATGTTAAAAAATATTTCATTTGATTTTATATATAATCTATAAAATCATAATTATTATTTATTCATTTTATAAATTTTGCATAGGTATATTTCTATTATATAACACTCGATATACTGCGAAATTGTACAATACAGTCTATATTCTGATGAATGTAAATAACATTTTTGGAACTTAGCCACACGTAACTCGTAATGTTTTCAATTTAAATGTAAACGCAATTCTATATGATACAAAAATAATGAAAACTGAAACGGTTTTTTCACCTTTATTTAAACATTTGAGGATGTCTACAATATCTTGATAATTTATTTCTATACGCTGGTTAGTTATAAATTATAATACAATCTTTAAATAATATTTTAAGAAATAAATTAAATTAAATTCATTTTTGTTTTTGATAAATCAAGTTATAACTTCCAACATAAATGTTTATAAAATGTATAAAATGTATAATATTAATTATTTTAGCATAGTATATATTATGTACGATGTTTCTAATATTATATCCGATACAATACGTAAAGTAATTTGTATCTAAATTACAATTATTATCAATTATGTAATGTTTACGTGTACCTATACCTACCTAATTTAACAAAATGTTTTATTAAGGGCATTCATATTAAGCCTACGGGTTATCTAAGTTTTGAAAACTAAATGTTATTTGCAAGCAAGTTACACATTACATTGGTTTTGCTTGAATTTTATGTAATGTTTTTTAGACTGTATTAGTTATCAATTTTATCATAAAATATGAAAGTTACGAACTGAAATTGTCATTTAAATATAAAATAGAAATCTATTTATGGAGTAGAGATAGAACTTATTTACACATTGAAAAAAATTAATATTATATTATATAGGTGTAATATATAAGTGTATTAACATTAAAAAATTAATTGACAATCCGTTTTACTATTATTCATAAATCAATTGAATAGTAAAACATTAAAGAATATTAAAGCCTGAGCAAAATAATGGTATTGTGCAATTATTGAGTTTATAGAAAATTGACCTTTAACACATTTGAAATACCTAACTATCATTTTAAAACTACCTAACGGCGAACAGTATATTAGTATAGCATGATACTCATGATTAATTTTTACCTATTTAGCTGTTAAAAATTTTTATTTGAATTCTACATTGTCTAATTCTGTGGCATCGTTGTTATATTTTAAATCAATAAATGAATAATTTACCTTAATACTTTAAATAGCTGTAGACTATAGTTCGTAGTCTCGGCGAATATTTACGATCATTAATAGTGGTTGAGTAGTTCATATGATTGACCTCGATGGGGTTTATAGTTATAAATCGATATCATATAAAAATCAAACAAGTAATTTATGGCTTTTTTAAAAATAAAAAAAATCCATTAAATAATTGTAATTGTATATTTTCATCATTGGCTTGTCATTTATATGATAAATTATAAATATTTCAATATTTCAATGCTTGGAGAACATCCATAAATATAATTTGTTATTTGAGGTAGGTCAATTGAAAGTCTGTCAATAATTAATAAATTAAAGTACAATATAACTTGAATTTTGACAACAATATATAGACATTTTTTTTTTTATGTGGAAATGTGGGTACTGCTGTACAGTAGTCAGTATCTATGTGTCGAGTAGGTCACTGTAATGATGACTTAAATTTGAATTCAATGATAAAAAATTATTATATACGAAAAACGATTCGGAGCGAAGGCGGTCTGTCAGCCTATATTACTAAGTATATTTCATGATATTATTTATATAATATACGTCTAAAGTAATAGAAACTCTGTGGTGC